ATATATATATATATATATATATATTATATTTATATTATATTTATTTAATTTATTCATCTATATATTTATTTATTTATTTATATTTATTTAGTTATTTATTTATTTATTTATTTATTTATTTATTTATTAATTTATATTTATTTATTTATATTTATTTATTTATTTATTTGTTTATTTATTTATTTATTTAGGTGTGGATGTGTGGGGGTGCGCTAGAAGTGCTGACCTGCAGCAAAGTCGCTCACGTCTTCCGCTCTGATAAATACTGGAAAGGTAAACCCTAAACCCTTGTAAACCCTAAACCCTTGTAAACCCTAAACCCTTGTAAACCCTAAACTCTAAACCCTTGTAAACCCTAAACCCTAAACCCTTGTAAACCCTAAACCCTAAACCCTTGTAAACCCTAAACCGTAAACCCTTGTAAACCCTAAACCGTAAACCGTTGTAAACCCTAAACCCTTGTAAACCCTAAACCCTTGTAAACCCTAAACCCTAAACAATAGGAAACCCTAAACCATAGTAAACCCTAAACCCTAAACGCTAGACAATAGGAGACCCTAAACCATAGTAAACCCTAAACCCTAAACCCTAAACCCTAACAGACCCTAAAGTGTAGTAAACCGTAAACGCTAAACCCTAAACCATAGTAAACCCCTAACACTAAACCCTAGTAAACCCTAGTAAACCCTAGTAAACCCTAAACCCTATATGCTAAAAAAAAAATAATATTAATTTATTTATTAATTTATATTTATGTATACAGGCCAAGTATACCCTGTATCTGGTGAGGAGATATCCCGGAACAAGCAGCGTGCAGCATTTGTATGGATGGATGAGTATGTGAAATATGTGTTATTAACAACCCCACCAATATCTTTATCTTTTCTTGGCGATATAAAAAAACAAATAAAAAAAAAAAAACAATTAAAATGTAAACCCTTTTCTTGGTATTTAAAATATATATATCCTGAGCTAGAAGCACCACCTCTATCCTCTGCTGCTGCGGGGTGTATAACACGAAAAGATATAAATAGCTGTTTAGACACCCTACAAAAAGATAAAGGACCTATTGGTGCTTTTCCTTGTCACTTCTCTCACGGCACCCAGGTATTTATTTTATTTTATTTTATTTTATTTTATTTTATTTTATTTTATTTTTTTTTTTTTTTTTTTTTTTT